TGACAAGCAGCTGTTTAAAAATGTTTTCTTTGTTTAACTTTGACTATTTTAATGTGTTTTAAATAAATCCAACTTGCTGTAAAATCACAAGTTTGATCATCTAATTGATTAATGTGTTAACGTGGATGCAGGGGCGCCGCCAGGGATTTTGGGCCCCATGAAAATATATCACATTGGGCCCCACCACCAGGCACAGGCCACTTTGTTTATAAATTACCTCGAGCGCCGTACCAAATGGTCTAGCGGTCCGTATACGGCCCGGGGGCCGGAGGTTCCCCACCCCTGCTTTAATATAATAACATTAGTATTAATATCATAACCAAAATGTCGGTGATTAACATGTTGTTTACCTCAAACAGACTGATCACTCAACGCTTCAAACTATCCATCATCCAAATAGACTAAAAGCAGTTTTATGTAGATCATTGGCTATGTGGGAAAATACTGTGTTTGAAATGTATAATTCAAATTAGATGTTAGCTTTTTGTTTTGATATATATATATATATATGAATAGGGAAGAGGCGTAAAAATGTGCCTGCATTTATTAAAGGTAGGTAGGTGAAGAATGGAGAAAACCAGCTCGAGTGCGACTAGAATCTGAAAGTACACAACCAAAAAAAAAATCTGCCCCTTCCTTCAGACTTCCTTACAGAGCCCCTCTCCAACACACACAAACGCGCACATGACCAATGAGGGCACGAGATTTGTGCACAGTTGGAAGGCTTGACAGGCAGGTAGGCCCATCCAATTATTTTAGCAGGGCCGGCTCAGATGATTGGTCGTGCTTTTTACAGCGCCACGGCCTTCACAGAATGCATTTTTTGTATGTATTTATTGTCAAAGCATTTAATGTATTCATTGCTATCGGAATGTTAAGAGCATGGAATATAACACAAAAGTGTTTCTGAAGTGATGACCTACCCCACCTTAAATGTCAGCTAAAAGAGCAGTGAAATTAAAAACCTCTGAATTGTCTGTAAAGATATTAACAGTAGCCTACTTAATGTCAGCTTAGTAAAAAAAAAACATTAGCTAACAGACTAATTTCCACCACTCATGGACCACACATTTCGCCCTTTAGTCCCTCTCTCTTGACTTTCTCTCCTTTCTCTTCTTTTCTTAGAGCCTGACTTTTTGAGTCGTTGAGACGTGGTACAACACACTTACATAGGCTAAGTACTAGCATCCCTCCTCACATGCTTTCACTCTCTGCAAGTGGCGGTACCGAACCGCATTTGGAGGCAGGACCAAACCATTACATGTAAATAGAAGGGGGTGTACAGAGGCTTTGGGTAATTAACTTTTGGAAGAAAATAAGTTAAATGAATCGTAAGTTTAGTGAGTACTTTATCAATATAACGTTCTATTAATGTTAATTATTGAGGATTGATGAAAGGTTACTTACAATTTTTTTCTTAATGTTCTAAACATTTTGGGGCCCCCGTCAGTCACGGGCCCTTAGAATCGTCCTAACTTTTCACCCCCTTACGGCGCCCCTGCGTGGATGACATTATTAAATTGAAATGCTAGTTAACCTGTTAAGCCCGGTAGCTCACGACAACAATATTCACAAAACTGTGTCTCAGGGCTTCTTAACATTTAACAACCTATTAATGTGTCATATCCACTGGACGGGAAGAAACTCAGCTAACTGACGATATGAAACATTTTTACCGAAACGAAACACAAGTCTAACGCCAAGCCTCTGAATTAGCACTAAGAGAAAGAGTGCTAACGCACTTGGCACATAACTGACGTTAGCGATCTTTTATACTTCATCGGATCTGCACAAACAAGATATCATCTGAAAGCTGAGATTCCACAGATTCCAATGGTATAGTTATCATCACTGAGCGATCAAAACCCGCGGCAACGAAAGCTGGCAAAGACAATACACAACTTCACTTTATTGCATTTTTCAAGCAACTTTTTTTTTTACTTCTCTGTTTTGTTTTTGTACTCAATGTGGGAAGGTCTTTGAGACCTTGTCAAACGGATTTTATGAGTTCAAATCAGATCAGTTTTATTAAATTATTTCCTAATTTAGTTATTTAAAGTTATTGCACTCCCCAAAGTCTTAACGATTAACAACGCACGTTAACAACGTGCGTTGTGCGTTGTTAAACAATCACAACGTTAACAACGCACGCCGCCGTGTGTAGGGGCCGTAGGCAGGCTGGCTTTAGGATACATGTTGCTGCTTGTGTTAAAAGTTCAAAGGACCAAAGCATTTTTAAGTATAAATGAAGGATAAATATAAATAGTTCACACATTTGAACAAAAGACTGAAAAAGAGTATGTATTCTCCTCGGTCACCACAGCAGTTGATGGGGCGCTGTGACTTGCATTTGCTTAAATTCAAAGATTGAGTAGTGTTTCTTTGAAGGGTTTCATATAAAATGATCAGCATTGCAATTAACTCTTATGTGAACTTCAGTACAGCTTTGAGGTATTGCCCTGAGCCTGTTTTTCAGGTCTCAGGCTCGAAAATGACATGCCCAGAACCAGTGCCAGTATCGACGGTGCAGCCGGTGCACATGGCCCATAGAAAAAAATGTAAATTATATTACTGATAATCCATCATAATATTTATGTCAATAAGCCTAGTTTTCAGTTTTCAGAGCGTAACGTAGCTTTTGGTTTGGGCAAACTGCGTGCGCATCACTCTCACTCCTCAATGGTAACGTGTAGGTGGATTTAGGAACTTCCCCTCAATTCTATTGGCTCTAATGGTTCAAAAGAGGTGTCAATCACCAAAATCTGGGTTCCAGAGATATGGCAAATATACCCAAATGTTTTTTTCCCCTAAACCTCTCTAAAAAGGTCAAATGTCACTTGCTTTGCATCAATCTTGATACAGGGTACTTATTATTTGTTATAGTTTGGATTCCTAAAGCTTTTTGTCTACTATCCCATCATTCAAGGGAGGTTTTCACTCTAAGTAATGGTTTTCTTTGGACGGAAACTATAATTTACATTTCTTTCTATGTTCAATCTGAATTTACTTTAAAATAAAAATATCTATATTAATTCTGACTTTTCTACATCCAACTCACAGGTTTATCATTGGTTTGAGAAAAAAGATTATTAATGTACCCCTTTTAGAAGTGAAGATATAGTCATTTGTTCTGGGCAGTGGCGTAACAAGGTTGTGATTGGCCCCGGTGTAAATATTGTTTTGGCAATGATGGTGGTGAGCTATCGTTAGCCTCCGGCTCGGGCTGCCGCTGCACGTCAACATTGCTAACGTTAGCGCTCGATTTCGAGGACGATGTATGACAAAAAAATTAATAAATTATATAATTAGTAATTTCGTCAGTTTAGCTGTTACATCTCCTTGTTCTCTCTTGTCCTTTCTCTTTTGAGCGCCGCTCTTGTGCTTTGGTTTGCTGTACATTATAAATGCAAGCTATTCAATTTGTTATAATGCTGCCAAACTTGCTGCTGCTAGCTACAGTACAGTACAGGTTGATTAAACGGTTCGCTCGTCACACAAGGTATCACATGACATGAAAGGGAGCAAGGTCATTGGACAGACAAATTACAAATTAATTTAGGTTGCTTGGTTACTTTGAAGACTGCGTGAACCGGTCAATGCCATTGGGGCCCCAATGGCATGGGCCATGTGCACCGGCTGCACCGTCGATAGTTACGGCACTGGTTCTGGGCATGTCATTTTCGAGCCTGAGACCTGAAAAACAGGCTCAGGGCAGTACCTCAAAGCTGTACTGAAGTTCACATAAGAGGTAATTGCAATGCTGATCATTTTATATGAAACCCTTCAAAGAAACACTACTCAATCTTTGAATTTAAGCAAATGCAAGTCACAGCGCCCCATCAACTGCTGTGGTGACCGAGGAGAATACATACTCTTTTTCAGTCTTTTGTTCAAATGTGTGAACTATTTATATTTATCCTTCATTTATACTTAAAAATGCTTTGGTCCTCTGAACTTTTAACACAAGCAGCAACATTTATCCTAAAGCCAGCCTGCCTATGGCCCCTACACACGACGGCGTGCGTTGTTAACGTTGTGATTGTTGAACAACGCACAACGCACGTTGTTAACGTGCGGTGTTAATCGTTAAGACTTTGGGGAGTGCAAGAACTTTAAATAACTAAATTAGGAAATAATTTAATAAAACTGATCTGATTTGAACTCATAAAATCCGTTTGACAAGGTCTCAAAGACCTTCCCACATTGAGTACAAAAACAAAACAGAGAAGTAAAAAAAAAAATGACTTGAAAATTGCAATAAATGGTTCACAAAAGCTTTAAAGAAAGATTTAGTTGATGCCTTACTTTACCAGGCATGAATCTGTAGAAGTATTGAATAAAGAAAATATTGTTTAAATTTGATCCCTGCTGCATCTGCTGAGTGTAATTTAAAACTGTATGTAATTGAAGTTCAGTTCAGTTGTTGCCGTTACTACCTAATTTCTCAGCTAAACATTAACTCAACATTAACTCGGTGGTTCTCTTCTTTGTGTCTCTGATATCTTTTAAAGACTATACTCAGAACAGTAATAGTCTCAGGCTGTTTGTCTGTCTTATGGCCTGAAAGATTAAATACATTCAGAATAATGGATATGCATTGATATATTGTATTATTAAATGAGGAACCAGGAATGTGCCTTTCAGATTCAGTTCCTTGAAGGTTGAATGGATCCATTTACGTGTCAGGATTATCCAGAGCTCTGTACAGGTCTGTTGCTTTGTTAAAGGAAACTAAGTGTTGCATTGTGTCAAGGATCTTTCAAAATTATCAGACATTGGTAAACATTATGAATGTCAATGTGCAGTTTAAAAGATAGCTGTATACACTCATAATTACCAACTAAAAAGTGTGACACATTAACATTATTTTTGTAAGACCTATTAGAAACTACAACAGAAGAAGTTTGGGTTTAATTACAAGAAAAATCATTTCTGTTCAAAAACTAACTACAGGTACTGTCACAAACCTATTCCTTTTTTAAATCCTTACAAACCAAAAGTAGAAAAAACCCAGATTCATTTATTTTAAGCCCAGAGCGTTTTTGATAAATCCTTTAACTCGTCTGTTTCACTTTCTGCAGGCAGATTACAACATAACAAAAATACCCTGAAAGATCATTCATTGTTTTTAGTTTAAAGAAATGCACATTATTTGATATACTTTGGGCCTATAATACACTCAGTGACAACTTTATTAGGTACAATCCTAATTCAACATAATGTAATCCAATTACTACATTTCTTGAATTAAAACATTTATTAACAAAAAGTAAACATTATAATCTTCAAAAATGTACAATTGGTGGCAGATCGGTTTGATTGCTTGATACATGTACTGGTGTTTGAACTCCTTTAACCAAATAAACAAGGATCCTGCTATATGAACTGTAATGTTTCAGTGGTGGACCCACTAACACTTGCTTAATATAGTTAAATCCATGTATTAGCCCTGAACAACATGTGACTCTTACAATGTCCCGTTTTAGCTAAGTCTGTGTTATTTAACCTCTGTTATTCATGCACCCACACTTGTTCACAGCTGATGAAATAACAGAAAAGCCTCACAATTTAAGGTTAGCAGAGGTGGAATGTAACTAAGCACATTACTATATTTACTTAAAGAAATCTTAGATAAGTTTAGTTAATCAACAGCAACTGTCAATTGCAGCAATTTAGTGTCAATTGCTACACATTGTAACACAACTGGAAATGAATCATACAATTGACACTGGCTCAGTAATGTCAGTGAAACAGCAAAGCCTTTTATCATTTTGGTGACATTAGTTGACATTAGCCAACATAAAGGCTAGCAGAGGGGGGGATTACATGACTGTGTATGTATTGGCCAGTTGTAGCGGGTAAGTGAGCTTCTGAAGGCGCTGGTACACACATGTTGTCAACTTTGGACAGATGTTGTGGGAAGTAGCAACAATTGAAGAACCAGGAAAACCATACAACACACTGACTATAGCCTGAACTAAAGAGCTAATGCATTGGATTTCCTTATAATAAGCAGGTTTTTTCAAGTGAATATGTCAACATGCAGGGACTGAATAGACTTCTTTCACTCTATAAAAACATCAACAGCAAAATAACAGTAAAACATTAAGTTGACAACATTGTTATATTTGTTCCGAAGTGTGAAGTTACATTATAGAGACCTGCAGTATCTCTGAGTGTTGCTTTCTTGCACCTAGCACCACAGTGTGTAACTGAGCCCTTTTCTGTCTAAATGCAGTCACGAGATATGCATCTTGATGGTCACCTCTTCATTTACGGTCACATAGTGTTTTTTGGCCCCTCGAGTGTATAGAGGTGTCAATGTTCTCATCACTATCTTCATATGCACTTCTATTAGGAGCCTAGTAATATTCTGGAGGAAGCACTGCAACTGCTACAGCCTACTTAACACTTTAAACACAGGTTATTCAATGAAAAATATCTGTTATTTACTGTAGTCTTTCTTACCAACTGCTAGCAAGAGAGAATAAAGTCAGTCATTTCTCAACAGGGTGCTTTTGTCGTGCTGTTTTACATATTTTTTGCTGACTTTCAGAGTTTTCTCAGACATGCGGAGTCTCTCCCTTGATTCAGTCTCATAAGATTGACAGTGCAGGGTCACGAGATTGTGCCAACACAGCCTTGCAGAGGGGAATGACACGCATGACCACTGACTGTGGAAAACAGGATACAGGCTACGTCGCAACAGGAAGTGTTGCACTCCTCCTCTGCAGAACATCAGTTTGACCAGAATGACTGCAGGTTGATGTCCACACTCTGTAACTCCTGTGGCAGTATTCACATTTCGAAATCCTCTTCGCTCACCATTTCTTCTGAGCTAGTTGAGTAATTCAGTTGAAAAAAAAGGTTTTGTCCAAAAAATAAAAATTCCCCGGGTAGGCTGTAGTAATATTTGTGGTGGTTCCATAGATACAATAAATAACTTTGTTAATTGTGTTTAGCAAAGAACAAACAACAAAAAAACAGCAAAGATGTAGAAAACGTGTATTTAGTAGGATTTTATAATAAAGAAACATGAATACGTAAATAATTTCTTAGGTAACATTAAGCTGCTCTTTTCTGCTGTAACAATATACATTTCTCCTCAGTGGGACTAATAAAGGTATTCTGATTCTGATAAATACCCCTAAATGAGAAAATAACATGCTTTGTTGACTTTTGCGTCTCGAACAAATACTACATGGTTAAGCACACAAACAAGTTTAAAACATTTAACTTTCCTCATAAGAATTAAGTTAATTTATCTATCTATCTATCTATCTATCTATCTATCTATCTATCTATCTATCTATCTATCTATCTATCTATCTATCTATCTATTTTTATGTTTCAGTTGACCAGGCTATGAGTTAAAAACTAAAACTCTTAAAATCTTGAATAAAGAAAAGAAAAAAAAGAAAGCACAGAAAAAAAAGCGACTTTTCTAGAAAGAAGTAAATGCTGAAAGTACAATATATGTATACCAGATGGATTAGCTCATAAACACAATAACAATGTATACCTACATTACACAAAGTATTACTAAAACCCCATCTCATCTCAGTGTGTTATATCGTCTATAAGGAAAGTCAGGGAAACGCCCACAGTCTCACGCAGAGAAGAATCCGACCTGCCCGGGTCTTAACGTCGCTCTCGGTAAAACCTTCCAGTGAAAAATGTTAGGCTGTAAAGGTGGTCCACAGGAGAGTTGTTGAACTACTGGAAGCAAATTGCCAAAGGTGGTTGAAAAAGCCCGCCTTTCTATATATCTCTGAATTAGCAGGGGAACTAAAACTTCCTTAATTCTACCAATTTAAGGTTGGTAAACAGAAGGCTTCTTTCTTCTTCCTTCGTCTTCATTCTTCTCTTCTTCCTGCTTCCTTTCTTCTTCTTCTCTTCTGTTCTTCTTCTTCTTCTTCTTCTTTCTTCTTCTTCTTCTTCTTCTCTTCTCTTCTTCTTCTTCGTCTTCTTCTTCAAATTCGTTCTTCATCTCCTTCTTCTTCTTCCTTATTAAAAACAAGAAGGTGACAACTCGTCCTACAAAACAAGTGTTCAAGGCTGTGAATCTACTGTGAGCCCTGATGTTGATGAATTTAGTTAATTTTGACTATTAGACTATTCAAAGTGCAGAACCTCGTTTGTTTTATTTGCTGTTATTACCAAACACTCAAGGACACATTCAAATGTAATGTTTGGTGTTTAATGCAACAGCTTGTAAACATAATTAAAACAGTAGTTTTGTCACACTCCAATGACTGGTTTATATACAAGCTAAAAAACACCTTCCCTTTAGTGTGCTAATTTCAAGGTACTTGTTATGAATTAGCAAAATTAGAGTGATAGAATATGAAAAAATGTGTCAGCATGTATTTACAGAACTATGTTTGTGAAATGAGGCATGCACTTCGACTAACATATTTCATTTTAATAAAGGTGTGACAAGGAGTGTCGCTGTGATGTGCAAAACTAGAATCAATATCAACAATTCAAATCAGCTCATTCATTTTCATTTGATCTTACTAAATGAATGAGGGGAGCTCATTTTAAAAACAGAGCAGCCACTTCAGGGCCGTTTTGTGTCCAGAGCAGTTTATACCAAAATAAAACCTGACAATGTGCAAATACAGTTTTTAAGTGAAATGTATGTTTCTAAAGATAAATGCATATGTTGTAAGTTGTTTTATTCAACTATTCAGAAAAAAATGTATACAAAAAAAACTTAATTTAAGAAAGCTAGGTTTATCTTATGCTATTAATTGATCAAATCTGCTGTATATGCATTCGACATTGGCCAGTCAACAATGGACACAGAATTACAGTGCAGATATGAATGCAAATGTAATCCAATTCAAAACAGAAATACATGTGTCATTTGATGTATTGTCTATTGACACCCCTGCACCCCTCATTACAGTGTGAGCCACACATTACCAGCAGACAGAAACAAATTGTCACGTTGACATGCAATGCAATTTTGTTATGAACGGTTTGAGCTAAAAACAGGCACAACATCATCAGGGAGCCTGAAAAGCAATCCAGCAAGCATCCAAACTGATGTATTAAGACTAAAGTTGGATCCACGGAGTGAGCTTTTGACAAGTGCATTCACTAGAAGATTCTCATGAAATCCTAAAAAAAAAAGAGAAAATAATGCTAAATATTTCAGTTCTGTGTGTGGACGGTCCACACAGAGGACCCATGCCTCCTGGCTAACAGTCAGCAGTGGTTTCGGTGGCCGTCATGTGTTTCACAATGACATGGAACGGTCGCTTGACATGCGTGCAAGGGGACATCCAGCCTTCTCACTTCTTATTCCTGATTCCTCATTTTCTCTGGACTCCACAAGATTCAACTATCAGACAAGGCTCTGGGTATTATTAGACAGGGGTAAATCACAAGGCAGATGGACATGCGCACACACGCATAGTGACACACGCACGGAAAGCCACTTTTAAAATGAAAATATTACAGACCGCAGGTACAATCTAAAATAATAGTTCTAATCTGCTGTCTCACTCTGTCTTATAACATTTACGTTTTTAAGATCTCATTACCAAACAACACACAAACACACACATTTACCTATATACACCCATATAAGGCTTCGGGCCTCTATCCCACTAAACAATCAAGTTCCTCTTTCTTTATGTATTGCTCAAGTCAGACAAGGATGACTCAGTGCGGATATTAATCATGTTTTTTGTTATCTTCACATCTCACTCTGCTAAGTCCGCCTTTCAGAGTCGCAGTTAGCAAGTCTATTTAAAAAAAAAAAGAGAACTTAAAGATCAGTTAAACTTGTTATATCTTAAAAACAACTTCTCTAAAGAACATGTTGTCCATCTGACTCCGACAATGTGTTGTTAAAGTCAGGAGTTAAGACTGTTCATCATCATACTGTACACTTTTACATTTAAGTCGTTTTATTGTATTTATCATTATATTTGCAAGTATACCTAAACATGTAGACCAATATCATTCATTTTTCAGCTCTTTGAAACATTTCAAGCTCTAATAAAATAAGTTAACAAGCTTTGTTTTAAATGTATATTAAAATGAAAAGGAAGGGAAACAAGGGTAGACAAGCATTTCTACTTTAAGAGACTGTTGAGTTGTGTTAAGTGCAAAACAAGCTTAAAAGCAGAGAGAGTGTTATTGCTGTCATAATATAACGAGATGTGTCTCTTGGCAGTTGTCGGGGCACATGTCATACCATCATTTATGCAGTAAACTCCTGTCACATGCACCACCTGCTGGCCAGCGCTGTTTATTAAGAGCAGTAAATCTTCTAGAGGTGAGGTTGTGATGCAGTGTTGACTACCTGTAGGGCCCTAAATGAGCAAAATGCTTGCTGTGAACTCTGACAGGTGCTAAACACAAAACAGATCAAATACTTTCAATGACTCACTATTTTAAAAGAGAAGAACATATTTAGGCTTTTGAGATGGTTAAACTATCTAGCAACAAACTGTTCCACTATAAGTAAAAGTTCTGCATTCAAATCCAACTAACTCCAAAAAATTACAAAAGTAGTGACAGAAAAATGATCTCATTCATGATCTCATATTGTAAGATTAATACTGATGCATGTACAGTATTTGTAAATAGCATGTCACTATTGTAGCTGCTTGAGCAAGTTCATTTACATTTTAATTGATTTAGCTCAGGATTTAGTAAAATTGAGTTAGTAAAAGACTACCAGGAGCTCAAACTTGACACTTCTTGTTTGTAATGGCTCACAAAGGGTGCCAACCACAAGATTATTCGATAACAACGCATTTTCCTGTATAAGGTTATCATGTGTTTTATGTTGAGTCAAAGTAACTAGCACACCAACACTACAGGTGTCAGATATGTTAGGGGTGAAAAGTACATGTATAACTACCCCTCCTGACAGAGACTGAGCTGTGTGTGAAACACACTTATTGATACACACAGGGTCTGTAATTTCTCTGTTGGACCCCTGCCTGGTTTCTGAACTGCACACATCTCATGTAGCTTGTGCAGTTTATTAATAAACCCCATTTGATCAATTTCAACTGATGGGGTGTATATTTATACCAGAAAGAACATTGTTGCGAGGATGGTGTGTCTCTGAGTCTTACCAGTTAAACCTTCATATTGTTTTGCCAGGCTACTTGTTGTTTGTCTACTTAAAATAAACTAAAATGTAAAGCTCATTACTGCAACAAATTATCAATATGAAGCACTGTGAAACTTCAATGGTTTAGTTCTAGGGTTATAAATTGTTTGTTAGCTTGGGTTCAGAAACAAACATTGTAACAATCGGACTCTCTTCAAATCATATCCAAACCCACAGGCTGGATTTTTACCAGAAATTATTAATAAATGTCTTAATTAGAAATGATCCAAAATCTGAAGATTTAGGATATTAAATATGAGGTGTGTGATGAAGTATAAAAGAGAGTCAATTTGTGTTGAATAGTCATGTTCTTCAGTTCTTTGAGTGTGGGCTCGTGTAGGGTGGCAGTAAACTACTGAAACATTAATTTCTTTGAGGCTGTTATTTTATATATATTTTTCAAACTGTTCATTTTAAAGAAGGACAGAATCAATTAAATACAATCCTGGCAAAACTCCAAATATATAGGACTGCATGTTGCACAGTTGTGACACTGGCGCTGAACAAATATGTCTACAGACAGACATATAAACACCCATCAAAGGTCTCAAAACAGCTTCTGTGGTACACAAGCTACCGTGGGGAGTGTATTGGTGCAGACCTACGCCTACCATCAATGATGTTCTCAAGGGCCCCATCTGAGCAAAGCGCTGTTGTCCGTCACTGTCCATGTAGGCTGTACCTGTGGAAAATTATAAGAAAAAAGCTGTAGTGAAAGGTTAATCTATGTTAGGCTACTTTGTTAACATTAAAATAATATGGGGTGCGTATGTTGAATCCTTCACACATCTGGAACATCTCCTAAAGGACTTGACTATAGCACTGTTTTGGTTTGGTTAAATGCTGTGATTTCAGATTCAATGTATTGGATTCTGTGACTGTGTGTTAAATGTGAACATCAAATACTTTCTTGCCAGCTAATGTAGCCTTTAGGCCTGAAAACTGCCAGATGAGTTCATGGGGTTCAATCATCTTAAGTTTTTACAACACATTTGCTCCTGAATTCTGCTCCTGGGTGTGGAAAATGAATTAGTGTCCTTGGGGCAAAAAATAAAGTTACTTCCTGAAATGTTGAGTGGGGCGGGATCCATGTCCTGAGTCTCCTCTCCTGTTTATGGTGTTTTCCCCTCCAGGATCCTGACACGTGGCTGTTTTGGAGAGCCGTGGTGACTCCTGCAGCTCGCGGATCCTGCTCGGCAGTCAGCCTTCATCACACAGGCCTGGATGGCAGGGACACACTGGAGCACAGACCGCAGAAACCACAAGGTATTTAAAACCGAAAATGTCACAGTAACGTGGTTTTTTGATGCCTCTTTCGGCCCGTACTGTTATCACTAACTTACTCAAACTGATGTTACAAGAGATAGTGTTGTTTTGCAGAGATTG